AAGCAATGGTTGTGCGTTCTTAGCCCATTTTGGACCAAATTTCAGCAAGTCTTTTTACACTCTTCATGCACATCTAGCACTTGTAATCAATCAAATTTATTGTAATCTAACATATTATAACCCCAAACAACACTAGATAACTCATTTATTCAACGCAATGTTTCCGAGTTTGTAACCCATTTGGGACCCAATTTCAACAAGTCTTTCTCAACACATCTAAACACTCTTCATGCATCTTTAGTACTTGTAATCTATCAAATTTATTGTATTGTAACATATTCTAACCCCAAACAACACTAGATAAGTCATTTAGTGGTTCAACGCAATGTGTCCAAGTTCTTAGCAAATTTGGGACCCAATTTCAACAAGTCTTTCTCAACACATCTAAACACTTTTCATGCATCTTTAGCACTTGTTATAAATCAAATTTATTGTATTCTAACATATTCTAACCCCAAACAACACTAGATAAATCATTTAGTGGTTCCACTACAAGAAAACAAGCATTTTGTGACCCCCCAAAAGCGTCCTAAAAGGGTCGCAAAACAGCTATTTGCGACTATTGCGAGACGATCTATGTTGGTCGCTAAAAAACGGTCGCTAAATTTAATGGTCACAATAACGTCAAATATTTGCGACTCTTTGGAGACTGGTATATATGGTCTTATATAAGCGACGGTTTAAAGACGGATATTAATAGTCGTATATTTACGACGAAGTTGTGACCCCTATTAATAAGCAACTACTTTGTGACAAACCTGATATTTATATAATAGGGACTGATATGGGACTAGTTGCTGAGTCGTAGATTTGAGATGGTTTTCAGACTTGTAAGTAGTCGCAAATTAGCAACCCCTTAGTGACGCTTTAGGAGTTTTTGAAAATTAATTAGACGCTAATCTACTACCATATATACCCTGTCTCAAATTTTTCTTTTGTTGTGATTCCAAAAGCTAAAAAGAAATGTTGAAATTATATAAATTTGATGAACCAAAATGTTGCTAATCAAACCCCTAATGTTGTTAATCAAAGCCTTACACAGTATTAAACATTCGAAAGATCTAACATGTTCATAAGAGAAGGCAAAAAGTTCTTAGGGTGATGGAGAAGGTGCTGAAGTAGCAAGTATGGTTCCTTGTGGTTGTGCGGTGGCTAGGAGATTTCCTAGTTTTGCGATTTGTACATGGCGGAGAGCTCCTCCCCTTTCTCATGTTATATTTCCAGATGCCCTTAGTAGAATTGAATAATCCACCACAACCCTAAAAAGATGAAACAAACAATCAGCAAAAAAATTTACATGGAGAATCATCACCTAAGGAGGTTTAGGTAGACATCGGGTGGATTTGAATTTCAAACTCTTCCTAAGCATCTTAAGCTCAGCTTCTTGGCATGTATAGTTGTCCTTTCCTCTTCTTTCACATGAATCTTTTTATTATGCTTTGAATAGAACTGCACAAGAAGATAAAAACAAATGCTTTTCAATGACAATACCACTGTTTTTGTCCCGAAATTTTTGCGGTAGCTTTCTCTTATATATAACCCACCATGTGTCTATCTAACGCTTTTAATAGACAAGCTAATTTAGCTTCAAATTTCCTGAAATTGCAGTGTAATCGACTAAATGATCTGACCTAATCAGTTTGGTAGTTGCTTCAAGCTGTAAAATTAAAAAAAGAAAAGAAAACAGTAGGTTTCAGAAACAACAACAAACATTGGGTATTTACTTACACCTCAATTCCAAACGTTTCATTAACAAAATCACCACAGACCAATTGAACAACTAGTGAATCAATCTAACCTAAATTGATCAACAAGTGCTCACAAATCTGGATCCAAACAAAATTTCATTGGAAGCATAAGAAAAGATTTCAGAAGCAACAAAGAAAATCCCACATAGTTTCGATAAATGAACCAAAGATGAGATACAAACCTCTTTGATATATGAATTAAATTCAGAATCGCACATATGGAGGCGAGAGAGACGACTCGGAGGGAGAAGTATTAAGCAACTAAACCAGTCAACTTTCTGGGCTATCACGGTTCGAAGTGAGTGTGATGTCGTGAAGTCGGAATCGGAGGAGGTGGAGAAGAATGGAGTGTGCGACAAAAAAATTTCAATGAGGCGAGAAAAAGAACAAAGGAGACGGAGAAGAAGAAAGAAAGAGGAGAAGTCTTCACCAAACAGAAAAAAGGAAAAGATCTCTACCGTTGGATTTACTCTATCTATGGTGGAGAATTAACCAAAGTCCAATCTTTGTCATAATGGACTAGCCAATGAGAAACCTTCTCTATTTTGGCTTTTGGTAAATTGTGGTTTTATAGTTTTGATTAATATTTTTAAGTCTATAAGTATAAAGTAAGTTTTAGAATTTCTAATATAGGGTTTGAATTTGTTTCAGAAATTTTGAATAAGAACTTTATTTTTGAATATATATATATATGTATAACTGAATTGTTGGTTTAAAGAATAAATAAATATTTTATTAGAGAGAGATTTTAGTAAATATTTTTGATCTAATAAATATTTTCCCAATTTTGCGATTTTCTTCTGATTTAATTATAAAATTTACTTTAAAATTTTGTTATTTATTCAAATGGCGAATGTTTGATTATAGGGCGGATTGGTTGTGACTTTGAAGGCTTTAAAAAAATTTTAAAGTCTTAACAGCTGTATTTTTACCAATCAAGAATTTTTTACTTTTATTTTTTTAAAGCCATTAAAGCCACTCTATTTTTTTCCTTCTTTATTTTCTCTTTATTTTTAAAGTCTCAATATCACGGCTGTAGAAACTTTAAAACAAATAAGTTTTAAAAATTATTTTTTACTTCTCCCTATAATAATTAGAAACTCTCTATAGATTTATATATATTTTTTCAAACTTTTTTTTTGTAAATTAATTATCAGCATTTTTTTTTCCTTTCTTTTTCCATCCACTTTTATTTATAAATTTAATATTTTCAATATCACAATTGTATTTTCTTATATTATAAATATTAATAAACTTTATTTATTTGTCACTATGTTACATATGGATAAATATTGATCATCATATATTTATAAAAATTATATATAATAGCAAAAAAAAATCAACTTTTAACCGTTAAAATGTCTACAACCAAAGTTTCTACAGCAAAAGTCTCTACAGCGAAAGTCTTTACAGTAAGTACATAATTATTCGGGGGGGTAATATTTAGCGGTTAAACACTTAGTCAACATCTGTAAAAATTATCGAAATTTAAAAGCAGTCTCAAATAAGTCGCAAAATATGTAGCAAAAAAGTAGCAAATATGTAGCAACTTAGTCGCAAATATTTTATAGACGAATTTGTGACTGTTTAGCCACTCTCGAGTTTAGTTAAATCGAAATTAGAGTAATGAGATTTCTTAAAAAGATTAGTTATAAGTTTATACATTGATTTTATCAACATTAGCTCTAAAAACTAATTAAGACCCTGCATTGTAGGTGTTTTTCTAACCAAGCTTTCATTAGTAACAAATCTAATAAAGGGTTAACATGTTGTTTTAGGGTAATGATGAGGGTTTTAGCTAAATCCTTAAAACTAGTGATAGAAACTTAATTTTTGCAAGTAATAGTAATATATGTACTCTATGCTACCTATTTGAATGTTTATGAGTTATACATTACAATATTGATCTAAATCATGTATAATTCAAGTTTTGTTTTGTGACTAATGAATGTCTGTCACAAAACAGTCACAATGTGCGACTCTTTTGTAATGTTTTTGCGACGCCTATCTTGTGCCTTTTTGCGACTATTTTGGGACTTATTTCCGACGCACTAATGAAAGTTTTCTCATTTGCAGCGACTGTGACTGCGAAAGCACAAAAACACAGTGATGGCAGCTAAAGACAGAAAAGAACGACAGTGACGTGTTGATGGAGGTATTGCAGGAGAAAGAAAAGAATGTGTGTTTACGTAAAACATATCGTCGTTGGAATTTTGAGCAAGAGTTAGAGTGACTCTTTTAATGACAACGGCGACAGATTTTAAGATGATCGGCGACTATTTTTAATGCTTAGAACAACGACACGGTTTATTTTGTATTTGCAGATCATGATCGCTGCAACCACGTAACGAACAGATCCGTAGTAGCAAACTTGAAGCAAAGTAGTCGCAAAAGAGTTACAGACTGTTTTGTGACGAATTAGCCACTCTCGTATTTAGTTAACTCGAAATTAGAGTAATGAGAAATGTTAAAATGGTTAGTTATTCGTTTATACATTGATTTCATGGACATTAGCTCTAAAAACTAAGTAAGAGTGGCATAGTGAGTGTTTTTCTAACCAAGCTTTCATTAGTAACAAATATGATGAAAGGGTTACATGATGTTTTAGGGTAATGATGAGGTTTTAGCAAAATCCTTTAAAAAAATGATATAAACTTAATTTTTGCAAGCAGTAGTAATATATGTACTCTATGCTACCTATTTGATTATTTATGAGTGATATATTAGAACAGAATTGATCCAAATCGTGTATAATTCAAGTTTTGTTTTGTGACTAATAAAGGTTTGTCACAACAGAGTCACATTTTGCGACTCTATTGTCATTTATATGCGACGACTATCTTGTTTTGTTTGCACTCTGTTACAGACCACTTTCCGACGATGTTAGGACGCATTTGTGACTTGTTTTGCGACTATTTTGTCTCTTCGTATTATTGAAACAGAATATTACATACGTACGACTTGAACCGCTAACATATTTGTAGTATTTATCATATGGAACCAAATTGCCAATGTTATGCATATAAGAAGATAAACAGAATTAGATATTGGTAAATTAAACAAAATC